AGGATTTGAACCCCAATCTCCTGTGTCAAAGGTGGTGTTCTAACCACTACGCTATCCAGCCGCTATATATATTTTTTATATATAAAAAAATAAAATCAGAGGCAGGATAAAACTATAAACTAACATCCATAATCCAACGTCAACATAGCTATCTCAGGGATTGTGCTCTACATTTCCACCATCATATCTGGTGACCTTTACCATGTCTTCAAGAGTTGGGGCTACTCTGATCTCTTGGGGGACGATGTTCCAAAGAGTGGGTGCCAAGACAGAAAAAGCTCTCTTCCTGGGTCCTGCCAGATGGTACTCTCTAATGGACTGGACCTGCAATAGGCCTCTCCTGCCAGATCTGATGGGACAGGTAGACACAATTGGGGAGAGGTGGTCCCTCAGATAACCCAGAGGGTTCAGGGACCATTGATCCAAGGTTACAAATGATATTATGCCTGCTTCAACTCTTCAAATAGTAATTCCTAGTATAGGGAACAGCTGTGGATATCAGTCTCCCTGTGAAATTTGGGCTTCAAGAAGTATTGTCTGGGCATCTAAATTTAATTTGCTCTTTTCTCATTTGCAGGAGTCCTTCCGTGCAGCAAAGATGGCCTTCAGACAGTTCAAAATGCGTGTTAGAAAGACACTGTCTCTAAGTTACTCAGGGCCTGAACCACTTGAAGATATGGTGATGGACTATATCATTCGTCAGGAAGACCTGTATGATGTTCAATCCAGTGTCAATGTAAGTCTGGGACAAAGTTATATTGCTTAGTGAAACTTGAATGTGGATGGATCAGAATCAGACTTTCCCACTAATTTTTTTAGATGAAATTAACTTAACTTAGCCATGCATTTATTTATTTATATCTATTATTTATGGTTTGCTTTTGTTTAGACTTATATCAGTAAGTGGATACAAAACTGAGCAGTGTTAAAACCAGCAATTGGAACAGTGGAAGCATAAAACCATTTAAAAATAAGGGCAAACCAATTTTACCTATCTATTTATTTATTTGTTCTATTTATAAGCCATCTCAATCATCCAAGTGACTGTAGGTGATATACAATATTAAAATAAAGCAAGTAGAAAGCAGTAATAAAAAAACCTCACAACCCACAATTATTTATTTACAAAATATATATCCTGTCCCCATCTAGTTTTAACCCAACTTGTAAACTAAAACAATCTGTACAAATGACAAACATTTCAATTAGAACGTAAATTAAAACAGCATTAAAAACAAGGATTATTACTTTTACAAGTTTTAATTAACAGCTAACTAACAGCTGGTGCTTTAAAACCTCTACAAAACTTTATTACAGTGGTTATATTCACTATTGTCTACCGGGAGGCATTGTATGACTAGTTTTACTCTTGTTGGAATTCATCAGGTATAGGTAGCCCCCATATGATAGGTCTTATAGATATTGTATGTTCCACCCTTTGTAAAGTTTAAGTAAAATTCTAATAACCCTGTCAGATGACCTTTTAAACCCAAAATATACAAAAGAGAACCATTTTGGCTGCCTTTCTAAGTAATTGGTACAGGGACTATCCTAACTGCACAAGGCTGCAACTGAGAAGGTCTCCCTCCAGTCTCCAGCCCCTCTAACCCACAGCAGCATTTCTTCTCAGAAAGTCCACATAGGATGGGCAGATTCTGCTAGGAGATTATGGTCCTCTAGGTAACCAGGACCAAGCCATACAGGTCATTATTAGTCATAATCACACTTTGAATTGTACTTGGAACAAATAGTCAGTGCTGAGCCTGTGAGCACAGATGTTCTACTGCAGCAGATGCAGGCTGCTGCTTTCTACATGAACTTCAAAGTAGTCTTCAAAGGCAACCTCATACAGAGCATTTTAGAGTGTTCCAACTTTGTGTGGAAAATATGAGTCACTATTGCCAGGATATCTTTTCCAAAAAGAGCCACAATTGATGTACCTGACAAAGCTGAGCAAAGTCTCCTCCAGCCATGGCCTCCACCTGCTGATTAAGTAGAAGCTATGAATCCAGGATAACTTCAAGTTGTGGACCTACTTCTTCCGGGGGAGTGCTATAAGAGTGGGTTGTTTGAATAAATAAGAATTCCAGCTTGCTAGCATTCAGCCTGAGCTTGTTTCATCCCATCCAATCCCTGATGATCATCGAACATCAGGTAAGAACATTCATAGCACCTGAACAGCAGTCTGGGGTGGAATTATAATTGAATATCATCAGCATACTGTTGATATATCTCCCAAACTGATGGATTCCCTCTCCCAGCAGTTCCAATTAGATGTTGAAAGACATAAGGCCCTGTGATACCTAACGTAAAAGTGACCAAGGAATTCTCCCACTAACACAAAAAGGTTATCCACACGAGTAATTCTGTTTATGTCCTGTGACTAGGTTTGAAACCAATCTAAAAGGGATCCAGATACTGTAATGTACAGTACTTAATCCAGGACTTTACACATATTCGCCCATCATCTTCTCCAGAGCCTTCTTCCCCTCAGGCTAGTTTTCCTCCTGCCTCATTGCTCAGAGCTCTTGTGTAAACCAAGGAGAGTTCAAGTTCAGCAATTCAGTGGGAGAGCTATGGCAGGAGGGAGGCTAATGAAACGGTTCCTTACATTGATCATCAGCTTGGTCTCTGAGGGAAAAGTGTTCTCCAGCAGTTATGTTCTCTTTTTTTTTTTTATAAACATTTTATTATATTATATTAAGAATACAATTAAAAACAAAAAAGAGAATACAGTAAAGATAGAAAATAGAACTAAAAGAAAAAGACAAAAACTAAAATAG